GACTTGCCTTAAAAACTTATAAATTTTATGGGTGCTGACAAGTTGATGGGTGCAGCACACCAACAAGGCACAAGTATACATATGTAACAAACCTGCACGTTATGCACATGTACCCTAGAACTTAAAGTATAATAATAAATAATAAATAAATAAAACTTATAAATTTTTGCCACAGCATGTATCACCTTCTAATGTATTTACTGTTTATTTAGGTCTTTCTCCAGTAGAATATAAACTCCATGGAGGAAGATAATTTTGTTTTGTTCACAGATATATCCCAAGTGCCTAGAAAAGTCCCTTGTACAGAGCTTGACCAGAATAAGTATCTGTTACTAATCTTGATTTGGCCTATGCTTTCTATCTTTAGTCAGTCTTCTGTTTTACTCTCACACTTTATATCTTCCCATATGTGGATTTATCTTACTTCTATATTGGTGTCACTTTCATAGGCCTTTGTTGTATGGTAGTCCCAAAAACTCCAGGCTTAACTCATCTATACAGCTACTCAGTTCCACAGGAAATAGTTTCAACTTTCTAATAGTCCTAGTATATTCTCAAGGGTATGCTTTTATTAGGCTGACTGGTTTATTTGCCCATTCCGGAGTCAGTCATTGTTATCTGGGTTATGTGTAAAGTTGAGAAATAGAATGCTCTAGTTATTTTGGGTGCTAATCAAAATCTGGACTGAGCAAAAGCAGGATCCCTTGGAGCTTGTTAGAAATATGGGCCCTAAGGCCCTCACTCAAGGCCAACAGAATCAGTTTGCATTTTAACTAGATTTTCTGGTGATATGCCTTAGTCTGTGCCCACAGATGGAACTGGAAGAGTGGGGAAGGCAATGAAACCAGCCCCATCCAAGCTGGAAGTGAAGTGGGAGTGGTTTCCCAGAGAAAATTCAAGTGCGTTTACCAGAGGACAGAATGGATGTCAGGCATGCAAAACAACAGCTATCCAATGCAATATATAGTGTGTATTAAGTAATTATTATATTCCAGTCATCGTACTAAGCACTTTCCAGGCATTATTTATTTAGTAGTCACAATATCTTGTAAGATATTATCAGGTAGGATACCTTATCTTTCAAAAAAGGAGATAACTCGTCTAAAGTTTTTATTGAGAAGGCAATGAGCAAAGTGATCTATAATATGATATCAGATAATAATAAGTGCCAAGGAAAAAAATTAAGCATGATAGAGGGATAAAGACCCAGGAAGATGAGAGAAAGGGATCAATTTTGATAGTAAGGTCAGAATAAACCCAAAGAAGTAAAATTTGAGCAAAGACTTGGACGAAGTGAAGGACAACTCATGAAAGTTGCAGGGTAACACCATTACAGACAGAAAAAAGAGAAGTATATAAAGCCTTGAATTGTTGAATTATGATGAATTATGAACTTGGAATGTTTGAAGAAATGTAAAGAATGAAAAAGGGGGCTAGAATGAAGATGTTACTGAAACACAGGGGTTCTGTCTACGTCCTGCTGCTTGCTGCACCAGAAGCCAATCACCAAGACAATCAGTATTGAAATGGAAGAAGGCTTTAATAGGTTGCTGCAGCCAAGGAGATGGGAAATCAGTCTCAAATTCATCTCCTCAACCGACTAAAATTAGGGGTTGATAATAGCAGGGAAGAAATATAACCATGTATGAGAAACCAGGAATTAGGGAGGGATAAGGAAGATAAATTGATCAACAAGAAACAGGTGGTTAGGCAATCATGACAGGTGAGGGGGTCTGGTGTCTCACTGTCCAGATGTGGTCATCTGGTAAGTTTCAGTTCCCTTATATTATCTGGTTGGTTTCCTGAGAAAGGAACTTAGATAAGACAAATGTAATTTACTCAAGTTTCAAGACCAGGAGGGCCATTCTTTCATGTTTATTCAAAAAAAAAAAAAAAAAAAAGAAAAAACATAAACATCACTTCTGTGGGACAATTGGGCTGGTTTCAAAGTGAGTATAGATGAATTCAAAAAGCTAGTCAAGAGCTATTTTCTGAAGGATCTTCAGGCAATGGTTAAGAGACATTCAATTATTCTTAATATTATGGAAAATCATGGTACACTTTTGAGCAGGGGAGTAACATGATTTGATTTGTATTTTAAATATATTGACTAAGGAACAGGCAATAGTGAATAAAATATAGGTAGAGGAATGTAAAATGTTTCCAAGCTAGTTAGGAGACTACTGCAATGCTAGTGTAAGCAAGAGATAGGAGAAGTTAAGACCAGGATGGTAACAGTAGAGTGGCTGAGGCTATATTGTGAAGGAGAGCCAACAAGAATTCCTATGAGTTAAAAATGTATATGTGTGAGAGAAAGAAAATTATTTATTTTTCCTTGAGAAAATCAGTGGATATTTGTGCTAGATACCAAAATGAAGAACCTTGGAGATGGAGCAAGTTGGAGAATCAAATTTTTGACTTGTCAAATTTGAGATGCCTAGTATAGATCCCAATAAAATTGTTGGGTAAACAATTAGGTAACCTACTTTGAAGAGGTTTGAACTGGAGATAAGAGTTTGGGGAACAGGTAAGATTACGTATCAAACCATGGATCTGAATAATCTAATTCAGGCTCTACAGTCACTAAATCATACCGTACAAGAAAAGTCTCTCCATCTTGTAGCCGCACCCACTGGGATACAAGTCCTCCTCAGTCCCTGTAGTAAAGGAAAAGAAAGCTCTCATACTTCCTTTCCTATCTTTAAAATCAGAAGTGACATAACCCCTTTCTCTCACAGTGTATTGGCCAGGAGCAGTTAGATGTCCCTGCCTAACTGCAGCGACCTGAGAAATATGGGGGAGTACATAGAGTGTTTGTGAGGACTGTTGTCTCTTAATATGTCTCACTTCTAAGAAGAAAAATATGGATGCAGAGAGAAAAAGCCATCCTCACCAAAATGTTAAGATAGCCCACAGTATTTCTTTGTGCATTTCTAAAGGTAATTTAGCATAATTATCTAGGATTAGAACAAAAGCAACTTGCAGTGGAAATGCCAAGGGGTGGCTTAGAGGTGACAGGATAAGAAGGCCTTTGCTTTATTCAATAATCTCTATAATTCTCCACTAGCCACTTTTTGCCAAATCCGAAGTGGACAATTAATGTTTTCTCTGACCTTATGTAAAATGGTATGCAAATGAAACTTTAAATTTTCATTTCAATCAGATAACTGCTCATAAAGACCTTCTAGGACTTTATCTTTTAGAGCAGGGGTTGGCTACTATGACCCATGTGCCAAAACCAGCTCGCTGTTCCTTTTTTAAATACCCAAGATCTAATTTTAAGTAGTTGGGGAGAAGTCAAAAGAGCAATATGTCACTACATGAAAATTATATGATATTCATATTTCCTTGTCCATAAATAAAGTTTTATTGGAAAACACATGCACAAAGAAATCCTTCTAGGAAGATATTACGGAGCCAGAACTACCAAATCTTAACATGATGAAAAAGGGAGGATGTTGATATTAAATAAGCCACCTCAATTAAATCCACCCACCTCAAAAATGAAAACAGAACAGTAAAATTGATTGTTAAATTAAGTCCTCTGAAGATATAGTGTTTCGCCTCCCCACCAGGCATAATGACATCTCTTTATATGATTTTGAGGACTATGTATTCAATTATTTCAACTGCAATAATATTTAACATAATGAGAAATTCTTCTAGTGATTTACTTTGTAAATACTAAATTGTTTTGAGCCTCTTATTTTGAAGGTTGCATTCCTGATTGGAAGTTCTGAATAGAATTATTTTGAAAGCAAATATTTATCTGTTTAAAAACCTCAAAGACCTTGTTGTTTTCTATCCAAACACCAGCTAGGAAAATCAATATTTTCTCTTGGAAGGAAATGCTTTGGCTGCTTCAGGATCAGAGTGCTTTCTAATAATACTATGGCATTTAATTTTGAAAAAACAAAAATTCTGAAGAGACAAGGGGGTTGGAACTAGTGAGTGATGAGTTTTGAGCGTGTTGCTGCTTTGGAAAATAGTGTCTTGGTAATGGCATTAGTTACAGACATTTAGATTGTCTAAACACTTGGTCCTGTTTTAGAGAACAACTGATTGGCTTTGTTACTTGGTTGGGACAGAATATCCTAAATACTAGGCCATTTTGTGCCAGCATGTTGCATAGTGGTCTTAAAGAAGAGAGTTAAACATTGAAATATTTTCAGAAAAGTCTAAGAAATAATTGCTGTTTTGTTACAGTTATTAGTTATTTCAATCAAATGCCAGTTTTAATATAAGGAGCAAATCAAGTTGTCATATGTTTTTATATAAAAATTAGTAGCATTATTATTTCTCAAATAGAAAACATTCTTTTATGATTTTCAGTGGAAATATTCATTTAAATGTCAAATATTCTATTATGTGAAATAAAATTAATCATTTTTCATATATACATAGGAATATATTCCTGTTCATTTGCTTGTTAGTTTCTTTACACTTACATGTTTACTAACTTTCCAAGGACTGGGGTAGCTTAGAATAACTCAATAAATCAATAAAAACATAAGTTTATAGTAACTAGATAGAAGTTCAAGAAAAAGAATACATGTGCAGTCTATTATGTGAATATTTTATATAAATTTCTCACAAAATCTACAGGTGGTGAATAAGTGACTCTAGGGAAAATATGAATATTAACAAAAACATTGGAGCTACTAGAATTTTTTATTAAGGAGAAACAGACATATTACACAGTTAAGCTTTATGAGATACTAAATACCAATTTACATTTAGTTAATTATTCAATCTAAGTAGTACAAGTACTTGGTGATAAATATTTGCATTTGAAAAGTCATAACCAATGGGAGAAGTGTTATTTATATCTATTTAATGTACTAATTCTATGGTAGTAAAAATCCAGTGTAGTAGCAGCTGCATATGCAATTGAATTTGCGGAATTATAAAGAAAAAAACTGAGAGCAAAGTAAATGGAGTAAAACAGTACTAAAACAAAAATAGCACAAACTGATTTGTGTTTCTCTGAAAAATTCCAGGTGTTGTCAAAGTGGATTATGGAGATGTGTCAGTCAGAAAAACACTAAGAGAAAATCTGAAGTGTAAGCCCTTTTCTTGGTACCTAGAAAACATCTATCCGGACTCCCAGATCCCAAGACGTTATTACTCACTTGGTGAGGTATGAATTATTTTTTTTGGTTAAGTTATAAATATATTTTGCAAATGGAGCAATTTCTAAGGAGCTCAGTATTTTTTATGTTATGAAAATGCTGTAAGGGATTTTTAATTAGATCTATTTTAAATAACTTCTCATATTTCAAGGACCATAAAGTCTTCATCATAAGGAATCATAAAAATGAGCAGAAATTTTAAGATTGAACAAAAAAATTTTTTTGTTCCAACAGTACTAAAACTTTTGGTCATTTACACTCTTAAAATTTACTGTGTACTCCAAACACCTTTTGTTCATGTGGGTTACAACTATGATTAATATTTACTGTATTTAAATTAAAATTGAGAACTTTAAAACCCATTTTTTTACTAAACATTATGTAATAAGCAATTACATGTTAATGTAAATAACATATTTTTGAAAAGTAAATATATTTTTCCAAGCAAAATCAAGTAATTATAAGAGACTACCATTGATTATATTTTTGTAAATTGCATTAATGTCTGTCTTAATAGAAGATAGCTGGATTGTCATATGTGCTTCAGTATTCAATCTATTGCAGTACAAGGCAGTCTATTACAATAGCCTCTAGAAAACTCTTGTACACTCAGGAGAATGTGAAAATGAAAACTGAAAGTAATATCTTGGTACTATAACAAAAGTGGTATTGACTTTTTAGACACTCTGAGAACCATTGATCTGCACCATTCTTTTCTACATATCTATTTTATCTCAAAATACAAAAGTGACTTCATTATAACTATACAAACATGTATATAATGTATGTATAATATATTTATAATATATTCATACATACAGATATATATATAATCCTGCATTCATCTCATAGATTGATTATATATATTTCTATATATCATATATATATATATCAACTGGTCAAAATAAGAATTATATTTCCTTTATGAATTATATCCTCCATATGTATAATTTTCCACTTAATAGGAATCAAAGCTACTTTAATATTGGTTGTGATTAAAGCATTTCAAGAGCAATAAATAGATGGGGCGCAGTGGCTCTCGCCTGTAATCCCAGCACGTTGGGAGGCCAAGGTAGGCGGATCACAAGGTCAGGAGATCGAGACCATCCTGGCTAACACGGTGAAACTCCGTCTCTACTAAAAATACCAAAAAAAAATTAGCCGGGCGTGGTGACGGGTGCATGTAATCCCAGCTAGTCAAGAGGCTGAGGCAGGAGAATGGCGTGAACTCGGGAGGCGGAGCTTGCAGTGAGCTGAGAGCGCGCCACTGCACTCCAGCCTGGGCGACAGCGAGATTCCATCTAAAAAAAGAAAAGCAATAAATAATGCACTTCGGAAATAATTATCAAGTAAGCATGTTCTTAGATTTAAAATTCCATTGTTGTAGGTCATAATGGTAGACTAACTGAAAATTTATATGGCTCAATCTAATACTTTTTTGGGTCATCTGCCTTAATGCTCTCTAACTTTATAAACATACCTTACTTACAATTAACTAGAAAAAAGTAAAGAAAAAATGTATTTGAGGTGACTGGAGCCCTAGCTGAATCGTTTTTAATGACTGATTTATGTGCCATCTTCATGCCCTATTGTCCAAGTCTCCACTTCCTTATTAGCCATGTAAATATCTCTCTATAGAGCTTGATTTACATATATTTAACTTTAATCTGAATAATGTAGTGAAAAATTTCATGTGTAATAACATTGATGTTACCACTTTCTAAGTGTATGACTTTAGACTAGTCACTTAGTCCTGTGCCTCAAAGTATTTTTTTTTTTTTTATTGGACAAGGGGGTATTGTTGCTATCATTTTCAAATATGTAGCATCCTCATGTTGGCACTGATCTCACAGGGATTTATATTTAATGCAGAAAACATATGACAGTGCTTTTTAAAATAGAACAGTCCTTGCATGTTAGTTATTATAAACCACTGAAGATCTCTGATAAATATGTAGTATCCTTATCACTTTATTGAAAATTTGTTTGAACATTGATGAACCTGACTGTATCCTCAGAAGAAAGGAAGTTTTATATTCTTATTATAAAATGTTTCTTTCACTGTCGCCAATGGACCCAAATCATTAGTAAATATCGATTTCTTTTTCTAAAAGGAGGAATGACCAAGGGCTGTAACAAGACAGAAATGAGCAAAGAAGACTTTTGGAAATTCTCTGGGGCCACCAAGGTGACTCTTGAGAAAAACTCAGGACTCTGTAACAGAACTAGATGTTTACTTCTAAGTTAAAAATCCAATTTTATGCTGTCCTGCACTACATCAAGGAAACCTAATTCACTTGCTAAATTGTAAAAATAAAATATAGTGTGGGCAAATTCCTTTGTACAAACTACTAATTTACGATTAGTTATCTTCTACAATGGATCAGGTGACCATATTTTAATCTGTAGAAAGACTTTATGATAAGATTTTAAAGAGAGGAATTGAGCCTTTCGTAGTATCTAAAAGAGGCAGTATGGCGTATTGAAAACATTCCAGCCCCTGAAGCCAAGAATAGGAGGGTTCAAATCCTAGCCTTACAGCTTTCATTTTGAGTGACGTTAAGTATCCCCTCTACTACCTCTGTCAACAGAATAAAGATGATAATACTGGGTTATAGTGATGACTGAAGACATAAAACATATAACCCAATGCCTAGCAAGAAAAGTAGCACACCAGTAGTTACAGTTATAATTATTATAGCTACTGTTTATTGATTTCCTATGCCAACAGTTATTCTAGGTGCTTTAGATGAATTACATAAAAATTAGAACAACTTTCATGACTTAGGTTTTATTATTGCAGGATTAATAAGGAAACTGACACACAGAAAGTTTATGTGCTTGGCCTATAGGTCACACGGCTAGTTAACTATTGAAGTTAGGAAAAATTACATGCTAGTCCAACACTAAGGCTCACTTTTTCTTATAACTAGAAGGAGAAATAGATGATTTTATTATATTTTAATCATTTAAAATGTTTTTATTAAATAAGAGCATGAAGCTGAGTGTGTTAGTAGCATATGCCTGTGGTCCTAGCTAGTCAGGTGGCTGAGGCAGTGGTATGACTTGAGCCAGGAGTTCAAGACGAGCTGGGTAACATAATGAGAGCCCATCTCTATTTAATACAAATAAGAAAAGAACTTGAGCTATGTCTTAGTCCCTTAGGGCTGCTATACCAAAATGCCTTAGATTGGGTAATTTATAAATAATTTATTTCTCACAGTTCTGGAGATTAGGAAGTCCAAGATCAAGGTTCCAGCCTATTTAGTATCTGGGAAAGGCTGGCTGCTTCCAAGATGGCACATTGTCACTAAGTCCTCATATGGAAAAAGAGGCAAATGATATATCATCACATGGGCAAGGGGCAAGACAGCTCGCTTCAACTTCTTTTATAAGGATACTAATTCTATTCATAAGGATGAAGCCCTCATGACTTAAACACTTCCCAAAAAGCTCCACCTCTTGAATCTTATGATTCATAGTTAGACATGTTATCTCTTGGGCCACCATTTCTCTTGGCCCTGCCTCTTAATACCACTACAATGGGGATTAGATTTCAACATGAATTTTGGATAAATGCATTCAGACCATATCAAACTAAACCTTTTGTTATATGTTGAAAATGCAAAGTCAAATAAGGAAAGACCTTTACTCTTAAGCCTTTCTACCAAAATAGGGATGCGGAGGTAGGTAGGGCAAGAGAGAATCAAACAGGTAAAGAAATTCAGTAGAAGTAAAATATGCCCTGCATGAGTTACATGATATGCTGTAACGGCTGTTTAAAAAACCTGATACATTTAAAAGATACAATAAGTTCTGTGCTTTCTGAAGTATTAATGTACTGTGGTTTTCCACTTTAAAACTAGCCTTAAAGAAATGCAATCCAGCATCTGTTTCCATGGAAACAGAAGGACAAATTCACCAAGCACTACCTCCTAATTCAATTTTGCATGGCCATGTATGCATAATTTAAGATGGACATTTTGATAATGAGTTAGAGTTGAACTGTTAATGAACAACAGTCATTTACTAAAGCTTTTTCCTTCTTACTGCCTGTTATTAACCTTTATTGGAAGAATGTAAAAAGATATTTTTCCTTATGTATAAGGCACTTTCTCTTAAATAATTAGAGTCCCAAAGCAATATCAAGTGTTCAAGCTACTTGTCATCAAAACAAGAACAATATTTCTTTGCAGTATATTCATTTGTACTTCTCACTGAATTTGAAATGAAATTGTGTGGCTTTAACAATTCATATATTTTTCACTTCAATGTTTCTCAAAGTCTATTTAATATTGCTGTGTATTGGTGAATATAAATGTTTCCTTGTCAATTTCTTTTTATAACTTTCCTTGCTGTGTTGGAATATGTAGAGGCAAATATGGTATTCAGTTTCTCCATTATATACCATCACCAAAGTCAATAGTTATTGATATCAGATATCTGTATCTTAATTTATTTTATGTTGCATCTTACTCAAGTAATTGAAATATTACTTTATCCAGCCCACGAATTACATGCAGTTTCCAATGGAAAGTTAAAAGCTGTGCAATTGCTTTGAACTAAAACCTTTAAGTAAGTTAATGAAGCATGTGTCTTTTAGACTCAGTAAGCAGATCATAATGGAATAAGGAAGTTGAGCTCTTTGCAGCATTAAATTCTCTCTTAACTAGCCCTGAAGCTTATGTAGATTTAACAGGCTGGGTTCTGATCTTGTAAATGTAAGTGTAAGACTGAAAGAAATGGCATTCTAAAATAGAATGTCTCAGCCCAAATTTTTGGGTTATGACAGGCTTTCTGAAAAAAAAAAAAAAAAAAAAAAAAAAAAAACATTGTGAACTGAAATTGAACACAATCTGAGGGCAAATGAAGGAGATGAGGATTTCAGGAGCCAAGTGACAACTCTTGGTGCTTAAAATTTGCATTTGCATGTTGCTTTGAAGATGTTTTGACATTAGTGTATGCATTTTGTATTGTGTACTTGACCTCAGGATTTCTTTTTCCTCTT